ATTATGCACGGGGAAGAAGAGGACCCTGGAGGTCATGCGGCCAGGGAAGAAGATTCGCAGCAGGTGCAAAGCGGTTCCGTGCGGCGTGGCGTCGTAAGTCTCGGTTTACGTCTAGGTGGTGCCGATTCACGACCGATCACTCTAATTTAGCGCCTTTTTGCCTATCAGGTGGACGTCGGAGGTCGCTGCATACACGGACGTCTACTACCAGTACATCCCCAAGAACGGGGACCTAACGACGGCAGAGAAGCTGGAGGGCTGGATGGTCAGCCACCTCGCGGATAAGTCTGTCGTCAAAAAGAAGGCAATTTTACCGACTGTATCCCACCTATGACTTGGGTTTGTGATGATGAATACCTGTTTCACCACCATCAACTGCAAGTTGTTTTTTCGCGAATGCTGATCATGTGGATCACTTCCGTAATGTGGTGGCTGTCATGGCTTACGATAGCATACACCATCGCAGAACCACGCAAATCCCGGAAATGTATCATGGCGGCTGTAGTAGACCACACGGAGGTCGATGCCTCTGTGTGATAGACACTACGGGAAAAAACGTCAAGAATACTACTACACGGTATATCATGAAAATGCCGTGGAACTGCCACGCTTTTCCGAGTATGCAATCACACTTCGAAATACACGAAACCCTATTGGTTGCAAAATGTTGAGTAATACCCCCCCCCCCCTCAAAGCCCAATCGATGCTACTGCCTGCCCCATGCGGTAGAATGTTCCAGAGTTGTGCCGATCGCCCGCATTCTCGGGCTGACTGTTCTTACCATTCTGCCGGAAAGCATTGTTTTCTGAAAGTTTGGCGGGAGAGCTTCAGCTCAGGCTGACACAGAACGCCAGGTATTTGGCTACAAACATGTCGACAGCACCAAGAGCAGCATCGTGCCGATAAGATTTCAGTCGTCTTCACATGCTTTCGTCTCCATTCGAACACGCACCAGTCCGGAAGTTTGTATCGACTGCTGGAAGTCAGTTGATGGGGAACGGACAAGGAAGAAGACTCATAGACAACCTCCAGTAGCCGCACCAACACGCTTTCAACCTCCGCACAAGACATGTTCCAAATGTATTCATTGTTCGTCGTGTGCAAACTTCACGAACCTACAACAGGGGTGGGACATGGACGAGGAGGAAGCTCCTCCGGGGAGGGGAGACGCCAAATTTTCGTGGGAGGTCATCCGCGACAATTCCATCTTCACGTACCGCATCGATCTCGTCCCGGCCTACGCGGAGGTCATGGCGGCATTACAGGCGAGTCAGCAATACGGCAGAATCCTGCAAGCATGGTTCATTATTGAATCCAATTTTTCGAATGGGGCGAACAATAGCGTTTTCCGTAAGTGGGAGATCATATACACGGTAACTGAACCGGGAGTCGTGGCGGGAACGGTGCTTGATTGGCAGCAATGTGCCTACTTAAATGGGGCACGTTCTTATTTTCAAGAGAGTCTAGGAAAGTACTACTATGCAGCGCTAGCAGCGCTAACACCTTGCCGTTGTTGTCGCTGAGGTTGTTGCTGTCGTTGCTGTTGCCGTCGCCGTCGTCGTCGTTGTCGTTGCAATTGTCGATATCGCTGTCGTCATCGTCGTTATCGTCGATGTCATCGTCGTCTTTGTTGCTGTTGTTGTTGTTGTGGTCCTCTTGATCCAACGTACACAATCGGGTCCTGCAGGAGGAAGAACGCTTGTACAAGGAGGATTTAGAGGCCGACAGCGACGACAGCGATGCGTCGGGAGATAACGATGACAGCGACGAGGAGGAAGAAGAGGAGGACTCGGTATGATGAAGTATCTGTTTGGTGACACGTTTACGTACTGAACGTATTTTCGCTATGAAGGTTGGTTTTGATGATTTGGGGTTTCGAGTGTTTGAATGATTTATCATTGTGGACAGTGCCGGCAACAACGTACATCGTACGACGTAATCATTCCTCAGCTATCAGCATCTGAGAGCATAGGACGTAAACGAACAGAAGAGGAGGGTTTGGTTCGACAGCCGTTCGAACTACTCTAAGCTGTTTGGATATTGGTGTTTTGTAAAGTCCCTGACGGTTGGTTGACTGTGTCTCCCGTATCAATGACCACTCATCACTGACCTCATCGAATTTGTCTACATGCGATGGGCTGGTTCCGTGTGCCAGCAGCCACTTGTGAGATGCAGCATCCGGTCGGCTGATCTTTTGATGCTCGCTCGACAAAATATAGGATGACGAGGTGGAGCAGACAGCGGCCTTAACAAGTTCAAAGAAGGCCAGCAGCAAGAAAAAGACTCCATTCAATCCATTCGATGACGCCGGAAACGGAGGGGAAGACACAGACGGGGACGATGCAGGGGACGACGACGGCTATAACCCGTTCGCGGACTTCATGGACGGGGTGAGGCTCACCTTCTCGTGAATGAGGCAGCACGCTGCAGATATAGACTATTTCGATAACCTCGGTGTTGACACTGTAGCGCATTCCGTTCGGTGGAGCGAAACGTGGCAAGGGCGTAGACTATACTGTAGCACACGTTTCTTTTCTTTTCGTGCTTTTCTCGACGAGTAGTTTCTTAGGTCGTATTTCATGTTTACGCCATGACGGTACGGGCTTTCGCCCTTGTTACTGTAAACGATGACCTACTGGTAGCTGCAGTATGTAGGGTTGACTAGAGTCCGAGATGACAGGTGGAAGAATAGTCATTAACACGGCAAGAGAGTCCTCGGTCCGGCGGAGAACAGAAGCACGGAACTGTAGGTATATTGGTCGATGAAATGGTGCCCGGTCAAGTGGCGTGGAACCTGAACATGTTGATGGTGGTCTTTCAAGGTCTATCGACCATCCCCGGGCGGCAGCCCCCGAGATACCTCTTATCATTTCGAACACTCCTGCCGGCTCTAAGTTGATGCACCACTCTGCTCTGGTTTACCCTGCCGAACCCCGCCCTGCATTGGTCGCGATGAAGATGGACGACGATTAAGGATGGACAATTACTACGAGGACAGTCGACGGTGCCGTCACAAACAGGAGAGGATCCGCGACGCGGAAATATCTTCTGCATTGTTGCGAATGCCAACAACATTGTTTGTACCGTTCAAGAAGCAAGCGTACCTCGTCGAACTAGAGATAATGTTCCTTCACCAGATTGTGTTACTATGCAAAGAGTATTCATCCCGCCGTTTATCCCGCCGTTCACGCCAAGATGGCCCAAACTACCATGTCGCGCTGACTGACGAGTATGAGCGATGTCTGGAAGTTCTATCTAGGCATTGACTATCGAGTGTTTGACTCAGTGACCACAGTATGGTCGTCCGTCATGCTAGCATTATTGCGGCCGATGGAGTAGTTTTGTGGAAGAGTGGCTGCACTCACTCCTGCTTCAAAACAATACTACATACGACATGAGAGTGGTTCTGGTGCAAATCGTTGCTGGAACCAGACATAGTCTGGGCATTTTGGCATCTAGTGAACGCAGTCTAGGCCGGCATCAACTTGAAGTCGGTTTCAAGGAGGGTGGCACTTTGAAGAGAAATTGAGGGCCGAAGAGCGGAGAGCACCATGTCGATCGTGTACAACCATCGAACAAGGCGGTCACGAGACACCTGGCGAGGCCAGCCGGCGGACGGAAATCCGAGGGGGGAGAGGGGAGGGGTGGGGTGTTCACGTGCAACTCGGTGGACTGCCATTGAACGAGGCTGGGAGGTGCGCTGTCAATTCCACTGTTTCGGAACACATTGAAGCGGGTGATGACTGACTAAGTCGGAGCGGCGCACACCTTCCTTGAGGTTGACGAGATAATGCATCCTGTTGGTTTGAGTCATGAAACAGTCGACGACGATTATTTCGAGCATCTATCCATGGTGGAAACGTTTCGCCCGGCAGTGCACATTTCTGTTTGAATAACGCCTCCGGTTTGCCGCAGAAATGAAAAGCCATTCAGTAGGTTGGTCGAACGGCGCCGTACTCGGTAGAAGCGCAGCAATTGTTTTTTCGTTCCAGGTAAGTACGTTGTTGGGGAGATTCCGGTGTGTCGGGGTCGTCATGTACTTGCGTCTTGTAGACTACCTGCGATTCTCAGTCAATTTCATCTGGCGACAAAAACGAGCGCCAGCACCCCCCATGGAGGGCGGGGGCAAGGGCGGGGGCAAAGAAAAAATGCAACGGCACCTGACGGCGTTTTATGTAGGCCGGAATCGGAGTCAACGGGCGGGAGGTTCCTGCTCTTGGAGGCGATCAGAGTAGGTCGCCAGAACCCCGCAGAGAGCGATTGTTGTTTCACCTGACGGTATACGAAACAAACGAGCAACCGCAGGCTACATGTTTGTTGTGTCATACCAGGTATTCCCACGGTGATTTCAGCGCTGCCGAGGCAACGAAGTCGAACTCTTGCCGTATGTTTCCTCCAGCTCGAAACCGCTCAACATAGAGATCAGGTGTCAAAACTTTACGGTCTACGGTGCAGAGGCATCTAGGATACCTGTTGGGTTGAGGCCAACAAGTGACAACAGTGGGACTCTCAACAAGATGTCCTCTAAAGCACAGCAGCTTAAGGCACCCAATCGGCGACGTGTTAACCGCGGGTGGATAGGCAGTGCCGACAACGTTCCGGCTCGAAGACGGAATGGCTCACATGAAAGCATGAACGTTTGTGCACATTTGGGTTCTTGTTGTGCCGTCCTGGAGGCGTGTTGGCTGGGTTGTTTTGGTTTGGTTTTCTGAGGTCTTACAAAGAGAAAGGTCTCACGGAGTTCATTTTATTCTGCTGCCTCGCTGCTCCTGCAGCAAGAGTTTGATAGACGCGTGTCTACTGGACCAGGGCCACGTGTTGAGGAATGCACGGTGTGTAACACGCAGCCCGCGTCGAAGTTTGGACCTAGCTAGCAGAAACTCGTCACTTTTCTGCTTAAATCGCGCGTTCTCGGCGTTCACAAAGGCTCAAGGAAACGTGTATATCCATTCCACATAGCGCGACGCAAGTCCCCCGGCATCGGAAGTACTTGTGTCCATGCCGTGAAGAGAGATTCCGCGGGATGGTCCCATCAAGAAATCGGCTGCACTTTGATTCACCACATTTTATTGTGCCCGGCACAATAAAATGTCGTCAAGCGTCATCATAGCAAACAGCATGCTCCGCATCACAACCGTCACAACGCCCCCGTCACAATAACGCCATCAGCCACTCCTGCACGGTCGCCACCCACCACCTCATGCCACATCACAGAAATTTTCATCAAACAAAACCGTGGATGACCCTTCCTTATTCCCTTGCTCTTCACATCAGCAACCCCGCTTATCGAGTTGTTGGATTCCGTGTTTATGAAACATTCGGGGTCACGCACGCACTCAAATGTCTTTCAAAACCTCGCGAAGAGAAGACGCTAATTCGGCCGTCGCCGCTCCAAGCATAGTGTCGCCCATCAACCCAAAATCCCCCCCATCCCCCGCGGATATCGCGGCACCCGCCTCTGTGGCAATTAGGACCCCGGCCGCCCAATCCCAGGGTTTCCAAACACCTGCTACGCCTGTAGTTGTCAAACAACAGACGGAGGGGTCGGGTTGGCCACGGAGGGGTCGGCGTGGGACGATAACAAAGCCCGGAAAAATGAGATACTTGCTAGCCGTTGACGCATGGCTGCCTGCTCATCCCGACTAGCGTTCAGTTCATTTCTCTGGAAAATAAGTCCACTCTGGTACTATCTGTCACATTATCCAGGATCACAGCGGCGCAGGGAGCGGGAAAAAAATAATCTTATGGACCTGATGGCTCCCTTCTCGTTCCCGAGGCCCGCCATTCAAAAACGTGCTTGACACTACTGTTTTGCCGTGTTTTCGTTCTTGTCGCTTTTGTTGTCAAGGGTAGAAAACATTATCCGTCAGGGTGCTTACCTCTTTCGGTCGATCCAACGTGTGAGGTATGATTTCCGTGGCCACAGGTTAAGGCAACCCAGCTCTTTACGCGCGCAGAACAGAGAACACCTATTAAAGTGATGTAAGACATTTCGCCCTCTTCGGCCGAAAACCTAAGAAACGAGAACACCATGAGGTCCTAAAAATCAATCGCCCTCACGATGGCAAACTGCAAAAGATGCGCAAGGGCGAGGACTCTTCACGCCACAGACGGAACAGATCCATGTTGCACTTATTTTTTCGCACAAGAACGTTTCGCCTGAGGATGCCTTTTCCCCGAAGTCGATCAGCGGATTTGTACGAAAAATTGCACCACGACGGTGTCTCCTCAAATTTGGAACCGGCGGTGACGAATGTGCGCGGTTCGAAATGTCTGTTGACAGCTACTACCCCAACCCCTGATAGGTCTTTGTCGTGTACACGTCGGTAAGTGCGGAAACTGGAGTTATACCGCACACAGGCAACTTCCGTTGTTGCCTACCTATCCAACCATTTCAAGGACGATCCGCAAGCCCTACATACCAACATTTCCGTTCGGGTGTTACTCCTACTTTGGATATTTTGTGGTGAGGTGCCTTATACGGTGTATCGCAAAAAAACAAAAAGCTAGCCTCCACCAAAAATCAAAGCTCACCGCCGAACACAGCATCCACGGAGCCCCTGGCCAAGAAGCACAGGTCCATGGCCCCGCACCCCGTCTGGCGGACGGCGCGAGCAGCGCCTGCGATAGCTCCCGTGGTGTCCAGCATCTTGCGGAGGCTTTCTTCTTCTCTCACGCTGCTGTACTCCGCCATCTGGTGGTGGGGGTGATCCGGAGGTTTCGGTTCGGGAGGGTGCGTGGTTAGCACGGTGCTGCGCTGTGCGACCGTTTGCACCGCCAGCGCTTGCTGGCTCGGAGCACAGCAGTTCGTACCCGGAAAAAACACGTTGCAGACAGACAGTTATCTAGTGCAAGCAGCAGGTTTGGCGGGCCACTTTCTACACAACAGAGAATGTCCTACAGAATTAGCAGCAGAATCCACAGCATCAGCAAGGAGGGTTAGCAGCAACAACAATCTGCTGTACAGAACGGTACAGCCACCACAGCTGGGTCCCCATGGTGGGAAAGTTAGACAAACCCCCGGAGTATTGAAGCACGAAGTGCCACAACCTTGGCGAGATCTCCTTGAAACCAAACTACCCAAGATCACTGCCGAAGACGACGCCCAACTCCGTCCGCCCCATAACCTCGCCCTGTTTACCCCCACTTGCCCCCCTCGGACGTAAGGTCAACTCTTGCTCACCACCATTGCCTGTTCCATCGCAGATGTTTTGGACACCTCCAGGCGCTTTCCGTTCAGAAAGGACCCGCCGCCTTTGATTGCCTGATACAGCTCCTGCGTAAAAGGGTTGAATACAACCCCGACAACTACCTGCAGGCGGCACGAGCAGTAGAACGGCGGGGGGCACGAAGGATCCAAGGCACTGGGTCACATCCGTTCAAGGGTTTAGTAAAATTGAACTATTTTCCGGTCGAACGGCCCTGCATTCTTATGCGGATCGGAAAATAAGTCCCGCGGGAAATCACGCGTTACTAGGGGTAAGCTTGGGGAGGTAGTAATGAGCGATCTTGATTCCTGTGTTCTGAATCCTGTCGACTTGCACCCATTTGTTGAACGTTTTTGTTGATTTGTGTCAAGATTTGCACACGCTACTCGGACATACATCAGAGGCCGGTATTGCGATACCATCCTATCGATGGACTCTGAATCCAAGCTGGCGTGAGCTGTAGAGATCGCTCGACCAACTAGAAGCAACCGAACCCCCCGTGCACAAACACGTGCACACAACCGGTAAGAAGCATTGTCGCAAAATTTCCACCCGCATGCCTCTCGTCAAGTCGACTTACCTCGTCCCCTTTAGCCAATCCGATAGAAACACACGTCACCGGGAAGCCGTGCACGAAGTTGGTGGTGCCGTCGATTGGGTCAACGACCCACGTCAGAACGTTATTGGAAAGTTCTGACGGCGCGCCTCCTCGGTCCGCGGACGTTTCCTGGTGCGGTAATTTGTGGCGCAGCAGAAGGCGTTTCTTTTCGAAGGAACAGCGTTGCGAGAACACCCTGCCAGCTATCGCTCAAGCAAAAGATATATGCGAGGTTGAAACGCATCTGACAAGGGCGATTCGCATCCATCGGAAACGACCGCCCCATATTCCCAACTTAACAAAGCATAAGAAAACACTCTTTGTACACTATCAATACGACATCGAACTGTCCGCATCGACAGAAAAAAAAGTGAAAATGCCAACGAAAGCAACCAACGAGAGAATCAACGGCCGCATACCTCTCCCAGGAAGTGGTCCTCCGGGAACTTCTCGTGCAGACCTCGCTGAATCAAGGCCTCGTTCGAGCGATCAGTTTCGGTTACCCTGAACAAAGCAGATAGCCGCCGAGGGACACCAGGACAAGGTACGAAGCAAATAGTTGATGTCTGGCTGTCGAAAGCCGAAAAAATCAACCAATCGCCGGGAAAATGACCCCTCATGTAATAGGTAACCAGTCCCGACCTATCAACACCGGGAGCTGTCCCCCGTTCCACCAAGCAGCCCCGACGTTGCCAGAAATCTCGAGTTCCTACCGTGGGAGAGAAGGCCAGCACCATATTGACTACCACCGAGAGCGAGGTGCACGCAACGTAGCGTGTGGGTGTCGTATTTCGAGTGCACGAATCGAGCAGGGAATGCTCTCAGGCAGGCATGTTCTCTTGTTTGCTCGGGTATGATGAAGCTCGTGGCATTATCTCTCTGTGGCATCCTGAGAGAACACACATAAATAGATCCTCCCTTCCGCAAAAAGCTGAAGGTGGATTCGAAGGCAAGACCCATCTACCTTGCTGAAACGAATACCGTATCTCCTTCTCCACTCACAGGTCGTGGCGCCCCTTGTAGCTGACGCCGCCCCCATCCTTACCCTTCCCCTCTTGTGCGCAATGAGCCTTCGCGTCCAGCATTGCCTGGCCTGCCTCCTGTGCGAGAGCTGTTGCAACTAACATCCTGGACGCCCTGCGGCGAAAAGAGCGGGCCGGAGGGGTACCATTCAACAGTTCAACTGCGGATGCCTGTTTTGTTGAATGGACAGCGCACAGTGCAAGCAACGAAAAGAGGTGGGCGGAAGTCCAAATACTGATAGCAACGAGACCACAGAGCAACAAGAACGTTGACCGGGCAAGTGTCAACGGGGGTGTTACCTCACGATGGCTGATGTGCATACCGTGTACAACACGAGATAACACCCCCCCTGGGCCGATTTTCAAATCTCGATTACGCCAAGACGAAGAGGATGCAGAAGCGAAACGATGCCTTTTCGAATAACTCTCGACGAGACGGCGTCGACGCTAACGTTTTCGGCGCTGCGCATATTTGTACTGTTGATAAGTCGAGCTTTGAAAAACGGTCCAGGGGGTGTGTTATCTTGTGTCATTTACGGCACATTAGCAGCACATGGCACCCAACCGAGTGCGATACATCGTTATCTCTGGGAAAGTCAAGCAAATATCGCACGCACTCCTGCTGGCTGACTCCGCCAGCCAGTCAGCCTCTGGCTTCCCCCGATTAGCCCGGCGAGCCAATTTTAAGTGACACTACCGCTAGTGACAGTGACTACTGCTGGGTGTGCCTGCGTACATATATATGTACAGCAGTGCAGCAGCATGACCCGCGGCGAAACCAAACTTTGGATACTCATCGAAGCGAGAAAAGCAAGCACAGCAGCACACGACCAGATCTTCCAGCTTACACCCAAACATCTCCTGTAAAACGTACTGAAGCAAAGCAATCGCGCGCACACACAGCAGCCACGTAGGTGGCCAGCACAACTCGCTTTGTCTGTGCGTGGATGCATTCATGAACATGACGCGCACATACCAGGTGGCATCAGTCCGCTCCTCACCAACAAGATGAGCTCAAATCACAGGGAATGTTCTTGCGCCGCCGCCGGGCTGATAGTAGCAGGGCGCTTCCCACGCCAATGAATACTATCGCTGTAGCATTCCATGATGCACGCCGCCCCGCCATGGTCAATCGGATTGCGCTGTCTGTGCTACGCACACATAACTTGTTGGGGATCCGCGGAATCGCTGCACAATCTTGCTTGTCCCCTGCCGCCCAAGTTTTCCGACCTGGAGATGAGACGGAGCCAGACCGTGCCACTCGTCACCGTTGTACACACAGCATCGCGATCTTCTTGGCGAAGAGGTCGGATAGCACTCCGCACGAACTTATCATGGGTAATGGAGACTCGAAGCCCACCGGCGGCGGCGTTCCGCCTCGGAAACGGAGCAAGGAATCCCCGTTGCTGCTACCGCAGGAGGTAAGGTATCTTTCTGATGAAAAAGCTGCCTCGAAGCTGCCTCGTATGTAGGAGATCTTTGCAGCCGCAGAGCGCTCGACGAAGAAGTAGGAGAGCCAAGCACCCTATCCCATTGAGCCGTGAGTGATGGAAGGAGCACGTGGTAGTGAGATGGAGTTTCTGCGTTGACTGCTGTTGCTGCATCCGCGCTGACGAAGGGTAGTTTGCTACGAACAGGTTTATCTTGCCCACGATGGTCCAAACTGCTGTGATTCCTATTCCCATCGTGGGTCGCCGAAGGCCGAAGCTCGATCAATGCAGTATTGGGCGACCCCAAGGAACAGCTGAGCAACTCGCTGGATGAGGCGAAGGCTAGTCTGTGCTACAGCTATTTAGTGTTTTTTGTCCCCCGGTGGTCTTCCGCGGTGTCTAGCCTTTCGTATATCTTGTGTGGGGCCGCCGTTTGTCTTTTCCTAGATACCAAGATACGACAAAAACATACCCTGGTAGGTTGTTGTAACAAATTCCACCTCTTCCATAGCACCACAAGATTCAGGGGTAGATAAGCAGTGATTTCATCGTGTCAGCAGACACTTCTGCTGTAGTCTACCTGTGTTTCTACAATTGCCCGAGCAGAATACAGCGATGTCTCCCCTGTGTTTGTTTTCGTGTGTTTGTGTTTCCTTTGTATGTCCCTCCATTCACTGTAGAGACTTGAACACATCCCGTTCGACTGTGGTCTTACTATCTCCAATGGGTAGGCTTTCTGTGTTTGTTTCTATTTTGTTTCCTAATGTATGTATGCATGTATCTCGAATGGGTAGTCTTTCTGTGTTTGTTTTTATTTTGTTTCCTAAGGTATGTATGTATGCATGTATGTATCTCGAATGAGTGAGTAGTCTTTCTGTGTTTGTTTTTGTTTCAGAAAGTCCGTGGCAATCGAATGATGCTTGAGTATAGCAGACACACCGAATATCTTGCACCCTTCCCAACACAAGTCATTGCACGAACTACCTCATTTGTTAGGCCTTGGCAAATCACATCGAACCAAGGGGGAACGCATTCTACGTAGCCTAGTCTTATGGAGGGAACCGTGAATGGACGCTCGTGTGTTGCCCACCGGGGCTGGTATCTATTGTGTTCTTTACTGCCTTTTCGCTCACATGTACTACCGTGGTCTTGGACGCCAAAAATTGCCTAAAACGTAGGAGAATCCTGGCAACGCCCGGCACGGTCAAGGTACACCCTTGCTGGGTCCGGCGGAGAGATCGGAGCGTCGATTTCTCCGCAACTACGACCTGGACGACGGCATTACCGAGGGCGGCGGTATCCCCAGCGACGGTGGTGGTGGGTTGTGCGGTGACTATTCTTGGTCGATCCCTCGAGACTGTCGAATCAAACCACTCGTTTTGGCACATTCCACGACAACGAAGTACACTTCCGTCACAGCTAATTTTGCGGTTTGGAATAGGGATGGAGTTCCGGAGAAGAGGTACTAGAGTGGTCTAGGTATTTCAATGCCGGCAAACACGAGACCAACATCAACCAATGGTACAGGTGGAAGGGGCAGGGGAGGTCACCGTAGTGGCGGGG